CTCTCTCTTTCTCTTTCTGAGTTTAGTTTGTATTTGCTTTTACTTTTGTAATAAAGATTTGCAATAAAAATTATAGAGCAAAAAATAAAAATAAAGTCATACTGCCCATTCCTTTCCCCTCTGCAAGGAAAGACCATCTGTAGACCTGGGCTCCCTTTATGTGGCCCTCAGTATATCCTCCAATCATGATTGCTGAAGATTAACGGCACACTTTTTGGCCATTGGGAGGGGGAATCACATGGAGGTAAATGTGTTCCTTGGGCACCAAAAGGTTGCCCACCCAGGTATTACATGACACAATTGGAAGGGAACTGCAAGACGTGGTTGAGGAACTACTGGTTGTTCTCCCCTGGTGTATATGTTAGGCAGAGCAAACTATTTATATTCTTTCAAAATGTATTCCAAGCAAATATCGGGCCTTTTCTCTTGCTCTCTCTCTCACTTCTCTCTCCCCTCCCCCCCATCAGACCTCCAGTGATTCCTAAATTACAAGAATTCTTGGAATATGTTAACTTTAATGAGTTATGCAGGCACAATTTTTCCCCCTTCATGACATTAACATCTGTTAGCTTTTAAGAAAACAGAGTTTCAGACAAAAAGGCTGTTGGGGGAAAAATACACAGAGTGGGGAGAATGAGCAAAGATATTAAATTTTCTAGTAGGAAGCCTTGGTTTTAAAGTTGGAGAATGGGGGAATTGGGATTGGCAAAATCCTGGAGCTTTGATGTGGTTGTTTTTAAGGAAATTCACATAGAAGATTGGTCCCTGGTAGCATTGTGAACGTGTGTGTATGTGCTGTGCTTATGAGTGTGTATTTTGGATTCTTGGCTTTAAAAAAACTGTTGTGGAGATGTTGCCTGACATAGCACTGTTACTGCAGAAATACTCTGATGGAAACTTCCCAAAAGTTGGCAGGGAAGGGGCTGTTTACTCTCCCCCCCACCCCCAGCCCATAACAACCTTGTGAGACTGGTTGTACTGGCCTAAAGTCATTTAGTGAACTTCCACGTCTGAAGGTGGATCTGAACCTGGGTCTCCCCTGGTCTTAATCCAACACTTTATACCAGGATTCCTCAACCTTGGCAACCTGAAGATGTGTGGACTTCAACTCCCAGAATTCCCCAGCTGGCATGGCTGGCTGGGGAATTCTGGGAG